AAATAATTTAAAAATTGCATTTCATTGCTGCTCTTGTTGCTGAGTCTGTGATGCTTTATTGCATCTATTTACTTTGAGGGCCAGGAAAGTATCTTATTCAACTCCAGCGCTCCCTTCGTAGGGCCTAGAGTTTGGTAGTTTGGGGTAATGTTTGCTGAATGCATAAATGAATGGCTTAATTCCGAAAGTCTGGTTCACAAGGACCAGAATCTTCTTTGGCCCTGAGGACAGATGTTAAACTGTTGCCCTTTTTATTCCCACTGGGCGTCGGTTTCCCCATCCACAAAAAGGACCTGTGAAAAAGATGCCCCTACGGATTCTTCCACCAGACATTGTGGCTATGAATTTCTGTGTCTCGTGGGACAAGAGCATCCAGGTCGGATGTGGGGTCCCTTGAGGATTGGTCCCTATGGCCTATTTGCTGGGCAACCTGGGACAAGTTACTTAACCTTTCTGTGCCTCAGCTTCTCCCTTCATAACTGATTCCTTTACTTGTCGGAGGCAAGAGGAGAGAGGGACCCTCTGTACTGGCATCTCAAACTCAAATACTCACAGGGGCCAAGCAAGGGGCTGTTAGGTGTTGGGGGTGCAACAGGGAAAGGTAAGGACACCGGGAAATGCAGAGCCAGGCCCCTCTACAGAGGACAGTGTGACTCAGCGCCGGCCAGCGGGAACGCGGCCTCCCAGTTTGAGACCGTCTCTGGTCTGGAGTGATTTATCATCTCGGCAAGGCTGCCAAGTCTGAGAACTCGGCTATACTGTATTGGGTGTCAGAGGACATGGGCCCAGATTCCAGCGAGGTTATTATTCACTGGTTGGGCTGGTTGCTTGACTCCTGAGCCCCAGTTCTGCCCCCATGTAGTGGCACTGAGTCTCCATGGCTTGGAAAGCGGATGACGCAGAGGCCAGGGTTAAACCTGCCAACAGGGGAGGGCTAATCGCAGGTATCAGAGGCTCCTTGTCAACTGCCTTGTCCTGGGAGCAGGAGAGCCGCTGGGGGTGAGGATGGTGTCACGAAGTTTAATGAGTAACCCAGGGGACTGGCCAGGGTGGGTGTTTGGCGGTCTGAGGTGTCAGGGACAGGGGCTGGGTGACGAACATGGCTCTGGGGGGACAGGTCAGTGACCCGGCCCACCTCTCCAACCTCATCTGCCCTCTGGTGCAGCCACCGTGGCTTCCCCACCCCTGCCTCTTCCTCACCCAAGCCAGGAACTCTGCAGCCCGGCCCCTCTGGGTCTGAGCCCTGACTCTGTCCCTGCTGTGTGGCCTTGCAAAAGTGACTTGGCCTCTCTGAACCCATTTCCACAATGCAGGGTTCATTATCATACCGCTTTTCCAGGAAATTGTAAGCATTCTGCGATATAATGATGTCACATCACTTTGAACATTCATGTGCCACCTTTGCAATTTTTGCCATATTGTTCTGTCACCTCTTCTATATTTAATAATAATAATAAAAACAGTAATAGCAGCAACAGCAGCAAACACAGTTCTGATATATAACACACATTCACTCATTTGATCCTTATATCGGCTCTACTAGGGAAGTAATATTTTTATCCCCACCTTACAGTTCAGGAAACAATGCACAGAGAGGTTAAATGAGTTATTCAAGGCCACACAGTCAAAAAGTGACAGAGCTATGATTTGTATCAAAGCCCAGCTCCGGGGTCTGTGTTTTAACTACTCGGCATTCTGCCTCTCCATGCCAGAAACGGCTACTGCTACTATTACTGCTACTGCCTAATATTTTTCTTTAAAGAGATTCCATTTAAAACTTTAATACCTGCCTTAGCTTTTTCTGAAGCCATAATATCCATGAAATTATGGGTTTGGTATTTTATATATACACACACACATATATACATATACACACACATACATACATATCTATATACATATATTTCCTCGTGCAACAGAAATAAATATCTCACTATTAAAAGACCTTTGGGATATGCTGGTCAGTGTAAATGGGCTGGCATACAGTAGGATGCATTAAATGCAGCTGTTGTGCTTCTTGTCTAAGCCTGAGCTGTGTGCTAAGGCCCCACCTCCTCCAGGAAGCCCTCCCTGATCCCACCCTGCCCCCAGCTGCCCATATGGGGACCTTGTGCCTCTGTCCTCCCAGGGGGTGTTGGAGTTGGCATTTTCCTTTCCCCTTCAAGCTGGGGGCCACCTCAGGGCATGAACTGGGTTTTATCACCTCTGCGTCCCCAGTGCCCAGTCTGGGACAGTCACCCTGACAAGGAGGGGTGTGTGTTTAATGTGAAGACGATGAAGACTCGCCAGAGTCCTCATCGGCGATCAGCCAAGCAGCTTGACTTAACCCCAAGTGGCCGGGAGTTAATCATCAAACCTGGGGAGGTCCCACATGGTTCAAGAAGGACACAGAATGTCTGGGCTGCCAGGTCTTCCTGGACCTCACTTCTCATTTTACAGATAGGGAAACTGAGGCCCAGAGACAGGAATGACTGGCTTAGGTTCACCCAGTGAGCTGGTGAAAAAACAAGACGTGACTCTGATCACGTCGTTCCCCTGCCTAAAGCCTTCTGTGGCTCCCTAATGCCCCCGGGGAAGGTCCAAACTCTGGACTGGCACGGGCATCCTTGTGGACTCTGGACCCAGCCCGTTTCTCCAGCCCTAAACCTGCTGGGTGCCCCATCCCTGCCTTCTCTCTGCCAGTCCCACTGGACGCTTCCCTGACCCTGGAACACATCACGTTTTTCAATTCCAGACCTTTGCACTCCCTGCGCTTGATTCCTGGCTCAGCTCGGGCTGCCCCTCCTCCAGGCAGCCTTCCCAGCCCTGCCCCACCTCCCAGCTGCCAACTTCTGATAGTGGAGCATAATTGCCCATTAACACCCCACAGGGAACACGCTATCTGGTTTGAGACTAAAGGTCCCAGGAGGGACTGGCACGTAGTAGGCGTCCAATAAATATCTATCGATTTGTTCGCAAGAGCAGAAATTAAATTAAAAACAATATTTATCGAATGAATGAATGGTCAGTCATTCGTTTGAACAGTAAATAATTGTTGGGCATAAAACATCAGAGACGGAGAGGGGCTTCAGAAAAAAATATACCTTTCTCACGTGACGAATAATCACAGTTTCCTCGTCCTTGTTTTCCCATCTCAGACCTACCTACGCTGACCCCAACAGTGGTTCGGGAAGCAGCTTGGCACCCGGGACCAGCAGACGAAGGTCTAGAGTAAGAGGTGTCTGCATCCCAGAAGGGGCGGGCCGGGGGAGGGGTAAAGCCTGTCCCGCTGCTTGCTGGCTGGGTGGCCTCGCCTGAGTGAGCTCTCCCCTCTGAGCCTCAGTTTCCTCATCTGTCAAACGGGACAGGGGTTGCATGAGTCGTGGGCAGCATACGGGGTTGGTCTCCCCCCCTGTCCGCCTCCGTCTTCACCCTGAGAGTGGGGAGCGGTCCCTTTAACTCGGGAGGCGGGGCCGAGGCGACCGGAAGCTGCGGAGACTGGGAGCTGCACAGCAGCGGTGTCCCGCGCGGGCGCTGGGCTGGGGACCGTCGCAGGGAGGTAAGGGGTCTGGCTTGCGCGTGGTTGTGCGAGGGCACCAGTCGCCCCGAGGCTCCAGGCCAAGTCCGGGCGGAGCGAGGGAGCAGAGACTGCTCCGAGCCCCCCGGGAACAGCGATTCAGCGCGGGGTGCCCCGCAGCAGGCTGGGGACGCTGAGGGGCGGCAGCAGGTCCTGCGGCCAGAGGGGTGGGCTGGCACCAAGGATTCGGCTGCGAAGTGCCACCCAGGTGACCTCTGGGGAAAGGCCTCGCGGACAAGGGAGGTGGACAGGGTAGGTGGTCCTTACCCCAACTCAGAGATGCGACAGGTGAGGCCCAGTGAGGAAAGGTGACTTGGCCAAGGTCAGGCGCTGCTGGGACTGGAGCCTAAGCCCTGTGCTTCCTGCCGCGTTGTCCCCCGGCAGGGCAGTCCCAGGTCCCCCTCTCAGCCCCGGTGGCTGCCGTACTGGGCGAGAGCTGTGTGTCCCAGACCTCAGTCTGGGAGGCCTGTGCCCCTGCTGGGTCTGGGCTTGATAAGGCTGTTGGCAACTGGGGGCTTGTTCATTTAACTGATGCCTGCTGTCCTCTTGTGGGTGGTCGGTATAACCAAGAGGGCTGGGAAAGCCTGGGGACTGAGCCAGGAGAATTTGACTCCTAAGAACGAGTGGCAACTAAGTATTAAATGCACACGTATTTCGTACTAGTGACAATAATGCTGCTATATTAGAGAAAGGATAGCATAATGGGTAAAAGCACAGATGCTGAGGATCCCTGCCTCAGGTAGGTTTCTTAACTTCTCAGGGCCTCAGTTTCATTGCCTAGAAAATGGAGTTAATAATGGACCTATGTCAGAGTTGTGAGGATTGGAGGAGATAATATATAAGGTCCCTGGTAACGTGCCTCGCTCATGGTAAGTCCCACACAACTATTAGCTACTATTTTATTATGTCAGACACACAGTCAGTGCCTTTGCTATTCATATATGGTCTCATAAATACTCACAATAATCCTTTGTTACAAAATTTCTTCCAGTTTTTTTGTGTGGTTACTTTGTTCTCATTTTTCAAGTCTTAGTTTTAGTGGTCACTTCCTCCAAGAGGCCTTTCCTGACCTCCATACCCAAAGTCGGTCCTCTTGTTCATCTCTTTAAGCCTCCCTGTATGTGTATTTCTCTCTTAGCAGTATTCACCATTTCTGATTATTTTGTTTATCTATGCAGTTATTTGTTAAATACTGATCTCCTCATCAGACTATAAGTCAGCTCTAAGGTAAATGTCTATCTTGTTCACGGTAGTATCCCTAGTTCCTAGGTGGGGGTCTGCCCCTGTAGGTGCCCTGTGAACATGCTAGAGTACAGGTGAGCATGTCAGGATTACTAGAAGGTCCCAGTGAGATAACATCTCCAGAGAACCCAGCCGATGTCTGGCACATAATAGGTATTCAATAAATGGTAGCTGTTAATATTAAGTCACACCATAGCCTGTGAATTGGGGACTGTAATTATCCCATTTTACCAGCAGGGAAACCGGCACAGAGAGGTCGAGATACTTGCTTGGGTCACACAGTCAGGAATGCAGAGCTGCTTTCTAACTTAGGTCTCTGATTGACCCTCAAGCCCACGCTCTGGGACTCCAGGGCTGAAGTGAGGCCCAGGATGGGGTATTATGGGTTTGGGGGTGAAGGTGACCCATGGGACTCTTTCCCCCAATGCCCAGCCCACAAGGGACCCTCGATGGGACTGGGCAGAGGTGGCTCAGGCCTTGCTGGGATGCCAGGGCCATCCTGACAAGAGAACAAGATCAAACCCAGGGCCAGGAGACTGGGCCTCTCTGATCTGGGGACCTCATCCCGGCTTAAGGGTGGACAAGAAGTTTAGATGTGTGGGTGCGGGGGGCGGGGTGGTGGCGGGGGTGGAGGCTGCAGCCTTCCTCCTAGTGGCCAACAGCGGAGCTGCGGGGCCAGCCTGGCACATTTTTGTCCCAGAGAATAAAAGGGGCCTGTGTTTGTTTCTTTTTCTCCCTACTATGTTTGCTCCCCCTCATCTCCTCCTCTTCTCATCCCCAATTGCCTCATCCACGCACTGCCTGTTGGCTTAAAACCTCCCAATGGCTTCCGATTGCAAGTGGCGTTAGAGTAACCGCCAAGGTCCTCGCCGTGGACTAGAACACCCAGCTGGACGTCCCCGCCCACCTCTCCGTCTCAGCTCCTACCCCTCATCCTTTCTGTCTGCGCAGGCAGCAGCCCAACTTCATTTTGCCTCAAGGTCGTGCTGCCTGCTGTTCGCTACCAGAATGATCTTCCCCTTGGCTGTCTTGTTGTTCACCTCAAAACTCCCCCTTCTTGAGAACTACACATCAAAAGAGAGTTAGAAGCCCTCTCAACCCATCAAAATGCCTGGACCTGACTTGCACGCTCATTCAAACTGCTGAAAACCCCCAAACCCCCAACAACCACAAAACCGACCATTTATCACATCTAATGAGATGACTAGAAATTTTTAAAAAATGTATTTATTTATTTATTGTAGAAATGGGATCTCGCTATGTTGCCCAGGCTGGCCTTGAACTCCTGGCCTCAAGTGAACCTCCCGCAGTGCTGGGATTATAGATGTGAGCTGCCAAACCCTGGCCACGATTGGAAATTTGAAAAATTACCAGCTATTTGGTGATATTAAGAAATTATTATGATTTTAGGTGTGATAATGGTATCGTGATTACATTTTTAAAAAAATTCAGCTTCAATGAGGTATAGTTTACAGAAAATAAAATTAGCCCACTTTAAGTATAGAATTGAGTGAGTTTGGATAAATGGATACGGTCATGAAATCCTGTGGCTACATTAAAAAAAAAAAGAGTTCTTTGCCTTTAGAGATCCATGCTGAAATATTTATAGATGAGATAGTACAGGGTGAAAATACAATGATAACAAAGTGGGCAGAATAATGATTCAGGAACATTCGGGCAGAGGGCACCGATATGGCAGAAGCCGAGTGATTCTCCATCCTCTTGCTATGCTGACATTTTCTTTAACAAAAGTTTTTAAAAGTTTCTCTGCTGGGAAATAATCTTTCCCGACTGCGCTTGCTAAAACAACATCCCCCCAAGTCACTCCTATTTGGACTTCTGTGAATTGTCTCCCCAGCTGGAATGTGGGCTCTGGCCGAGTGGGAGCCTCTTCTGACCTGTCCACTCCTAGGTCCCCACACCTGGACCCACCTGGTGCATAGTAGGTGCTCAATAAGTATTTTTGAATGAATCAATGATGAATGAATGAATTTTCCCCACTCTCTCATTCATTCCTCACCATGCGTCGGTCACGTTTGACATTCCCAACACTGTGGGCAGCCACAGTTACAGAATGAAAGGGCCCCCAGTCCAAACCTCTTTGTCCAGATGGGGAAACTGAGGCTCAGAGAGGAGCAGATACTTGCCGGGAGTCTCTCAGCTTGGCAGCCGGATGGGGCTAAGGACACCTAAGCCCAGGGGCTTCTCTGCCTTGCCCTCCCCTGTCCTGGCTAAGGGGACTCTTGACTGGAGATGCCTGGACTGTGACCTTTGTACCCTCCGGCAGGCTGTCCGCGTGGATGCTGCAATGGAGAGCTCTCTGGCGGGTCGTGTCAAGGGTGAACCCTTCCACACGGTCACGCCCATGCTGGAGAGCTGGGCCCTGTCCCAGGTGGCGGGCATGACTGTCTTCCTCAAGTGTGAGAATATGCAGCCAACCGGCTCCTTCAAGATCCGGGGCATTGGGCATTTCTGCCAGGAGGTGAGGACATGCGGGCGGGAGGGGAGCAGTGAGGTTGACAGGAGGGAGGGGTGCTCGGGCGGGAGGGGAAGACGTGAGCTTGAGCAGATGAGAGGAGACAGGTGAGGGTAGGGCTGTGGGCAGGATGAGGGGTGAGGAGTGTTGGCAGTGGGATGGGGATGTTCTGACATCAGGTCTCCATGACACCTGCTTACTTCTCTTCCCAGATGGCCAAGAAGGGATGCAGACACTTCGTGTGCCCCTCAGGTGACCCTGCCATTTTCTGCTTCATGGGGGGTCCTCGGGGCAGGGGCTGGGGGAGGAGGAGCAGGCTGGAGCAGCAGTAGTTGTCCAGGGATTGGCCTTCTCTTAAAGGTCCAGCCTCACCAAGGTCACAGATGAGATGGCCACCACATATGTCCCCTCCTAGCCTTCTTCCCATAATTTAGGACTCATGATGGGAGCAAGTGACAGAAACTCAGTTTATACCAGTTTAAGCTAAAGGCTCTAAGGACTGAAAATTCTTGGGATAAGTGGCTTTCAGGAACAGCTGGATCCAGGACCTCTCCTCTCTATTGCTTCTTCTCTTGGCTTTTTTCTCCCTCTAGATTAGCTTCATTTTCACAGAGGCCTTTTGGTAGCAAGGTGGCCACCAGGAATTTCAGGCTTGCAACATACCATCCATCCGACCAGCCCTAGTGAAAAGGGAGCTCCCTTCCCAGTGGCTCTCACCAGTCCTGGAATTGGTCTTTTTTGGCCCAGTTTGGGTCACATATTCATCCTGGAACCAATCCTGGATCAGGGGCTTAAGTCCTCTGGTAGGCTCTATTTAAATCGTTTGTCCACTTCTGGAGCTAGAAGGAGGAGTCAGTGGTGGGGCATATGAATGGCGGCGGCGGGGTCGGGTGGGCGAGGGCAGTGAATCCCAAAGGGAAGTGGAGGTGGGGGGAAAGGTGCATCACCAGGCAAACGCATCTCTGCCCACCGCACCCCCTTCTGCTTCCACAGGGGGGAACGCGGGCATCGCCGCTGCTTATGCCGCTCGGAAGCTGGGCATCCCTGCCACCATCGTGCTCCCCGAGAGCACCGCCCTGCGGGTGGTGAGGAGGCTGCAGGGGGAGCAGGCGGAGGTTCAGCTGTTTGGGAAGGTGAGGACCCCATGGAGGGGGAAACCGGCTGGAGTGGGCTGTGCTCCCTCCACCCCACCCCACCCCCAAGAGATTCTGTCTCCTTTTTCTCATGAAGAACTATGGCTGGAACCCAGTTTTCTCGTAGGGTGGCTGAGCTGAGGGGTGGGAGTGAGGTGTGACGTATACCGAGAGCTGGGACCGCCCAACTTGCCCCTTGCCCACCCTGAGAAGAGCCCCCCAATGTGTGGCCCGAGGGAAACAGGAAGCTGGCAATCGGCGGGAGAGGGCCTGTCTTCTCAGCCCCTCCCCGGCACTTGGTATCATCCACTTTTAACACTTTTCCCCTTTGCTAAGACAAAAAGTATAAAGATAACGGCGGCATCGCTTCTTATTCTGAGACCGCCCTGATGCGAGTGACGTCCACTGATGAGGTGTCACTGGTTCACTTTGTTACCAAAGAAATGGAGACTCATGCACAGGATCTTTCTCCGCTTCCGGGAAGAAGAAGAAAAGGTCATTCAAATAATGGAAAATAGATTTTGAGCAGGGGTGGGACACAGTTGGATTTTTTTAAAAAGTAGGTATTTTTAAATATATAAAGAAAAGGCTGGACGCGGTGGCTCACACCTGTAATCGCAGCACTTTGGGAGGCCGGGGCAGGAGGATCGCTTGAGGCCAGGAGTTCGAGACCAGCCTGAGCAACATAGGAAGTCCCCCAACTCTAAAAAAAAAAAAAAAAACCAGCTGGGCATGTTGGCACACGCCTATAATCCCAGCTACTCCGGAGGCTGAGGTGGGAGGATCACTTGAGCCCAGGAGTTCGAGGTTACAGTGAGCTATGATGACGCCACTGTACTCCAGCCTGGGCAACAGAGACCT